GCTGCTATCCTCTCAAGTTATTTGTGTACTTGAAATACTTATAGAAATATGTCTAGAAAATGCCCTCTTTAAGAAGTGAAATTTCAACAACAGAGATCTTCTCTTTCTGTGGTTTTAGCTTCATAAAAAATTTAGATTATATATTACTAAACTTGTCCACATTTTAAAATTCTTATTTACCTTGGAAACAGAAACTTTCTTTAAAAAGGGTAATGTTTATAAAATTAAGAAAAAATATGTATTTTCATGGATAGGTAGGTCTCTTTAGGGCTACTACTTGTCACACAGGATTTTGGCTTGGGCTAAGGAACAAGCTTTTTTGGAAAATGGATAAAAGCACAAGATCAGTTTAACAGCATGAAGATACCTTCTATTTCCTCTACTAATTTATGCAGAGGGAAGCCAGGGTCATGTTGCCCGTCAGAAATGGTATGGGTTTCATCAAGTGGGGAAGACCCTTTCCTACTGTGAACTCCCTCTTAATATGGTAATCAAGGGAATGCTTCTTTACCATTTACAGTACACACTGGCAGTACTGATCTAGGTGGCAGCTGTTTATAGGGACTACTATGAAAGCCAGCTGATCTCTACCCGGGACTGTGGAGCAGTCAGACTACTGCAGCCTGTCTGTGGTTACAAATATTCCTGCAGAGTTGAAGCAGCCAAGAGTGCTGAGGGAAACCGAGCTTGGGCACCAACCCTGCTGTCGGTAGAAGTGTGGTCCTCCTGTTAGCTTATGGTCTCAGCCATCTAGGGTCCTCACTTAAGGTCATTTTTCAGGAAATTCTGTTCCTTGCAAAACATATTTTATCTTATTTAATAAATACACAGGCATTTAAAAAAAGCTAAACATATAAAACCAAGCTCTGGGGAGATTTATTAAGTACATTTCAATTAATTTTGTCTTGACCTTTATGAAATAGCTGATGACTCAAAACAAGATTAAAAAAGAGAGAGAGAGTATACACCTTGAGGTGTAGTAAGCTTAGCTAGTTGCTTTAGAAATACTTTGGAAAAATAAGGGAAAAACAATACTTATTATGGGAATTATTACTAATTTTATTGATTTTGTGATAAATGATACTATTTTGCAAAAAAATTTTTAAAAGAAGGTTGTTACACAAACATGTAGGAAATTTTTAACTTTTAGAAAAAAATTTCAGTGACTTTTGCATTTAGCTCAAAATATCCCAAAGGCATTAATATTTTTACTTATTACTGGGATGTAAGATATAAAGAAGAAATAGCTGTGGCATTATCAGATTAAAATACCACTCATCAAATCAGGATTTATGTCTTTACCACATACTCCCTTAAAATAAAATATGTAAATCCATACAGTTATCTGTTTCCCTGGTATATGGTGCTCAAGGTCATTAAGGTCATTGTACTCCTAAGTTTACAGAATTATCATTCAGAACCATGGCAAAATGCTGAATTATCTTCATACTCCAATTCTTTACATTTTCATCAGTTCTCTTTGAATTCCAGAGTTCAAATATTTATCTTTGAAATCAAAGGGTATAAAAGATGTTCAATATCTTAGCAATTTAGTAGCTTATGGTTTGATTTTGCAACTAACTGTTACTTTGATTTATAGGCAGGTTTGCAATAAACAATCCAAGTGGCATTAAAACAAAGACAGAATAAACTATTGCAATGTAATTTCCTAGTCCACTTTATAGGGAATTGTTACTTATGTACTTTAATTTGGTGAATCAAACACTTGAATTATAAATTCATCTATTGATAAAAGAGATATTCTCTTTGAAACAGGTTTTGTTTTGTTCTGTTTGTCTTTCTAACATGCCATGCCTCAAGCTGCATACCAGCCCCTGCAAAACAACAGCTGTTTTACTCCTGGGCTTCTATACAAAATCCAGGAGAAATGGAAGAGGCCTGGCATTTGGGCAGAGTTCACTCCAAATATATTTACATGACAAGGACTCTTACTTTCTGTTTCTGTTGACACCAAGCATGCAGAAGCACAATTCAGTCACACTCCCTTAAATAGAGCATTCCTGTTCATAGAATATCACAGTCGGAGCATTTCCATGAACTGAGGCCACATGTCCTACAACCTGCTGCTTATATAATTGCCAGTATTTTGCAATGAGCAAATGTTCCAGGTACAAACTGGTTCATGTTTATGTTACACTGCTAATTCTATATCAACCAGATGGAAAAGAATCCAAAATTCTAAAACCCATCAAAGAGTGAAAAAAATCTTGAAACATCTAACTTCTGGAAACCTCATGACTACAGCCTGAAAATCAGACATCCAAAATAGTCCAGGTAATGGATTTTAAGCACAGTCCTAGAGCAAACAACCCACACAATTCTGTTTGTGACAAGTATTATAAAACTTGCAAAGCACTTTCTCATTATCTAATAAAATTACTGTGGTAATACTATGATATAGGTATAATTAATTAATGGATTCAAAAAATAATGTTCAGAGAGGCTAAATTTCTAAGGTCACAAAGCCAGTTAGTAATAAAAAGGATAATAAACCTCAAATTTTAACTCAGAGCCCTTTTCTCTGCTTCTTTTTCTTTTCTTTTTTCACTTTCAGCCCTTACTTCTGAGTACTTCCCAGGCAAGATCCACAAGTCAATTTCTTTAATTTATTTAAAGATACATTATCTCTACTTGAATTCAAATACAATAATTCTATGTTTTTCTAACTTTTTTTTTCTTGAATTCAGATGCTGGAAACTTTGGTCTACTCCCATTTCACGCCTTTTAAAGTCACAGATTTCTAAACTCTATGCTGTCCACGTCTAAGGAGCTGGTTTGTGAAGAATATCTAGGTAAGGATGATGCAATCGGCTTTTCCCGTCTGGTCCTCTCAGGGCACCACTTCTTTGACCCATATTGCATTTCTGTCTTTGATATCATTACTCAATTACATTACAAATGTCTTTCAGAAAGCCATAAAACACTATTTCCAGAGACTTGTGACAAACTAAACAGGAAGAATGTTAGTGTTCTCCTTTATAACCATTTAACTCTCAGTAATACTTGTTAATTAACTGTTTGGGAAGACACTAAAAATGATTATAGAAAGATGGGAAAGGCGAGTTTGGTTGAAAAGACTGTCACTCACTTAAACAAATGGCTATGAACTGCTTCCACGTTCCCAAGCTACGTACAGAAGACCGATTATCGTACAGATAAGATTTCAGAAAACTCTAAGGCTCTTGTGCTAATTTGCCTTATTGATGTCAGAGCACCTGTGTTCTGACTTGAGTCAGCTCTTCCCATAGAAGACTTTAAAAGTGGAGTCCCTTCTTGTTCCCTAGAGGATTGGACTTCAAATACACCTCGTTGTCTCAAAGTCCTGTATGACCTTCTCATATAGTTTATTGATTCTTTCTTTCTTTCATGTGACTCTATATCATGATGTATTTCTAGCATTTTAAAGTAGTTTATTTTTCGGTGTGTGATTGAAATGTGATCTTTTTCTTCTTTTTCCCATAAAGACTATACTAGAAACACATACAGCTTTTAGTGATGTCAAAGACCATTAACTTTATTTTGGCTCTGCCTTGATTTTAAAATGTTTACTGTTAATCTTTCTCAATCTCTCCATCTATTCCTGACTCCTTCCCTCCCTGCATTCCTCTCTTCTTCACACTCTCTCTCTTCTCCAATGTGTCTAAATCTGCTGTAGGAAAATAGCCTAATAAGAAACAGACTCTAATTCTGATTCTGCCATAGGTTCTTACTTGGCCTTTAACAAATCACTTCACCTCTGGATATCACATTTCTTCACATCTCTATTAAGAAAGTATTATCACTTTATTTTAAAGAGGTTTTTCAAAGAATGACTAAGAATTATGCCTACAAAGCAGAAGGAAAATTGTATATAATAATTACATTTGTAAGCTACAGATCTGAAATATGCAGGTTATATTTTCAAAACCAAAGCATGACCATTCTATACAACTATTTCACTATACTGGTGAATAAAATTAATCATAAGAATCTCATATTAAAACAAGCAAAATCTCAATATTTTCTTAAGTAATATGTTGTCCATTGGCTTGCAGGGGCTCTACAGTGAAGTGAAAGAAAACGAAGGCTTTGGAATTAGAATTATTTTCCAGTTCCAGTGGCCATTTTCTGTTTGACCTTAGAGACATGACTTTACTTCTAAGTTACAGATTCTTCACCTTTAAAACAAGAGTACTGCTTAATATAAAAGAAAATATGTAAATCATTTCTGATCACTTCTAACAATGTATGCCCATAATATCATGTCATAAAGTTTGCAGGAAAAATAAACACCTCTGATTTCTTAAAAATAAATGCTCCTTATATTGGACTACAACTATTCATTTTGAAATATATTATTTTTGATAGACAACACTACTTGATTCTTGGAACTCTTGGTAAAAATTAAGAAGGTGTATGTGTATAGTCCATAAAATTCAGATTGTTTTAGTCCTTATTATTCAAAAGCTACATTTTTAAGGGAGAATCACGAGATTTTGCTTTCATACAGTTATATGCCAGAGTGGTAAATGAAGCCTGGCAGGTTTATAAATAGCCTCATCTGTCTAGTCAAGGGTTAGTCCTACTTTCTTTAAATACCTATGTTGGCAGCTTAACAACCGCCACAGCTTGACGGAGTATATGCAGCAAATATAAATACTTCACAATTTAAACTGTCTCTTATTTAAAAACACAGTTAAAAAGTAATCTATGGAAGAGATGAAATGGGAAGTTAACAGAATAAATTTGGAGAGCTGAAGCCACTTTTAGTAACCATTCAAATGTAAGATAAGTTCAAAAAAAAAACTATAACATTGAACTAAATGTAAAAGGATATTACATTACTAACATACCATATCCAAAGCATATAATGTGAATTTTTTAAAATGCCTTTTTAAAAAAAGTCAATTTTCTTAGAACATTCTTTATGTGCTAGAATGATTCTAAGTCATGTATCTGCATTGCTCACTGAATCTTCATGTAGCTTATTTTTAGATCAGAAAACTCAGGTAGAAGTAAGTAAAGTGACCCAGGCTACTATCCTGTGTTACAGAGCTGGTCAGGGGAAGGCCCAGGATTTCAACTCAGGTCCATCTGAATCCATTCCCTGTGTTACATGCATCCTCTGTGGATCAAGGTAATTGCAGAATTTGCTTCCAACGACCTCCCTGTTGCACCTCTGCCTATTACCACTAAGCTAACAAGATTTCTGTGGTGTTACAATTTGTGTAGTTTTTATAGTGTGAATAATCTTTGTATAATTTATATTTTAGAAGATTATTGTAAGATTCAAAAACCTTTTCCAAATTACATCTTCTTCCTTCACAGCACGCCCTTTTGAAAAGCACTGTGTGCCAATTTGAGTAGTGAGAATTATCACAGACTGTTTCATTTAATCCTTAAGTTGAATTTAACTATGATTAAACTAAGAATTTTGGATTCAATTTCCTCCTTATTTTATAAAGAAATTTTAAACCATACCCATTATGCGCCGTTATCTCTAAAATTTTTACAATTGTAAAGACAAATAATCATTAAAGTAATCTTTCTTGAAAAAATAAACCAGAATATTATCTGTAATCATTTGAAGCATGCATTTAGCACAACTCTTACTAACTTCTGAATAAAGTATTCATTAGCTAAAAGTCATATGGAAAAGTCAAAGTATCACTGACTTTACTTTTTCTTATTATAAAACGTAACTTTAAAGACACACAATAGCAATATTTATCATATTCATCTCACTGTAATATTGTCATTTTTTTCAGGAAAGAAAGGATTATAATACACAACTTTGAACTCAGTGGCCCTTTAAGTAGTTTAAGAAACAGTTTGATATACTTAGTCAAAAAACACAGAGGGTCACCTATCAACAGAGTAATAGTTCAAATTGACAATGAGACAAGCAAATACTGTCATTTGTGCCATAATCCCAATTTTTTTCTTTTTTTGGTGTTCCGCTGGGGATGAAGAGTACAGAGTGTATACAACTGACATTGTTCCACTAATCCAGCTGCAAGTCTTGTGAAGAATTACAAGCAGGCTCCACTCCTTGAATTTCCATGACAACAAATTTATTTTTTTGCATGAAATTAACATTTGAATTCTTCTGTCAAAGCTGCATATATGTGTTCCTTGGCCCTAACATTATATTACGTTCAGGAATAAAACATTATGACTCGTGTTATAGATTTTCTGAATCCAGATGCCTCTCTGCCTTCATAAATTAATAAAAATTACTGTGAGGAAGTACATGGAACTGTGTTAACATCTTATTTGTTTCATGTTCAACTACAATTAGAAAAATTTCCATTTGTCTATTTATAAATAATTGTCTAGTGCCATAAATAAGCCATTTTTGCTCATATTCTGCTTTTTAAGAGCATCCCTGCTTAAAGCACTCAAGTCTAAACTGTCTCAAGTCTAAAAGCTGTGAAAACTTTTAAAATTTAAAGGGACCAAAAAGTTACCTTTTGAAAATTGAGAGTGTAAAGGCAAGCTATATTAGCTTTTTCACTAGAAGATTGCTATATAGGAGAATTATTTCCTCATATTGATTTTACTTGTGCATAAACAAGCTATATTTGCTTTCAAATACATACAAGAGATTCATATTTGTATCTCATGCCCTGCACAGGAAACACAAAATAATCTAGAATACTGAGCACGATAATTTAAAAAGATTATACATACTGACAATTAGGTAAAAACATACCTTTGTGTTATCTTCCTAAGGATCACTGTCTTTTATAGGTGTTTTTAGATGCATTTAGAAACCTGAGCTAAGAAAATGGTGACTGATGGTCACAGGTATATGTCATATGATCTCCTCTTTTGGCTTCACTTGCTCCATTTCTAATAGAACCTTTCCAATAGCATTATTATACTGTTTTTCTCTATATTTGAAAATGAGAAATTCCAACTTGATTCCAGCCTTACCCCCGAGAACTCTGCTACCTTCGCCTAACCTTTCTGTACCTTTCCATTCCACTGAACCTGCTTTCTTTGAGTACAATATGGAGAAGGAAGAAAAGGAGAAATTATGGATGTTATTGCTGTTTCCTGCTTCTAGTAGATGTGTAATGTATGTATGCATATACATGAATATATACATTTGTTATCTATATCAATTATTTAAATTAATTGCATTCAAAGTCTCTAAAGTCCATTTTTCTCAGCTTGTTTTTTCCAAGGTTTTAAGCACTAGTTGGAAATATCAGGGTTGTAACCTTTTGTTTCAAACTCTTTTTCTAATTTCTTGTATCAAGAGAAAGAGAAAAATCATTATTCATAGTAATTTGGCATTGTCTGAACAATTGTTCCTCCTTCTCTCTCTTCCTTAAACATTTATTGAATGCCCTCTGTGAACTACATGTTGAGAATGCAGAGCAAAATCTTTCATGTTTCTTGCTGTCAAGAAGTTTTATTAACTGTTTAAGAAAACAATTTAAAGTTTCAAGCTAGAGAATGACTTATTATTTTAGAAAGATTCTTCTGACAACGTTGTAGAGGATAGAGGGAGCCCTGGATTCAGGGTGGCCAGTTTATTGACTACTGAAATAATTTAGGAAAATTTAATGCAGGAGGGATAGGGACTACAATAAAAAAAATTGTTACAATGGAAAGAAAAAGAAAAGAGGAAAGTGGACAGGACTAACACAGACAGCTAAAAGTGGGCAGAGAGGGAAACAACTTCTGTTAGAGACTTACATGTAATACTTAGAGATGTAGGAAGGGGAACATGATCCAGAGGTATCCTAGAAGCCAATGGAGAGGTGTCAAGAGAAGCTGGAACTACAGTGTTAATTTAAGGTTGGGTGAGTAAGGTGAGACAAGCATCAAAATACTCAGTTCAGTTTTTAAATTAGGGCTTATTGTTGACTTTTGCAGAAGGACATTTGGTCGTTGATGTTTTAAGCCTGGTGACAGTATTTTGAAGAGTTAGCAGACAGTGAGAAAGTGAAGGCAATGTAGCATCTGTGGAGGATAAGTCAGTAGAGAAGTTAAAAGAGCACCCCTTTCTTGAAGGAGATGAGAAAAGCAAACTGTTTATAAAACTAATTTTACACATCAGCAAATGTTAATAACTATCCTAAAAAGACAGTATTAAGTGAGCTGTCATTCATTCAACATCTCTTTATTTAGGTCCTATGCTGGGTCCCAGTCTGTTCTACTTGCTGGGAGTAACTTTCATAGAGCCATGAACAAGAGGAGAAGGTTATTGTTTTCATTAGGATAATGAGGAATGAGAGTTAATGCACTGGATAATTTCAGAAACTGGTAAGTGCTGTGAGAAAAATGTGGCAGAGCTTGAACGGGGAGTAGGAGGGTAGTTCAGTGGGGCGATCTATGTTGGGCTTAATGAGGAGATGAAATGTGAGCTGATGCCTGAATGAGTAGGAGGCAGTCACGCGAAGGTCCCTTGTGGGGCATCCTGGACAACAGCAAGAGCCAATGCAGGAGCAAGCTTGGCACATTTGAGGAACATATGAAAGTCAGTTTTAAAGTAATAAGACCTAAGTTTTGAGCGATGTACAGAAATCCCTCATTTTCATAGTTTTTAGTGTAACTTTACAAAACTCATTCACCAAGGTCTTTCTACCTGTCAATCTGGAACTCTGCACACATGAACAAATGGAGTGATGGTTTCTGCTATTTGCTCAGCTATTTACTGGCTTAATGACAAAAAAATGTGTTAACACTTTCCAGTGAAAACACTTTCTATTTCACTAAAAGGCCTTTCACCACTGAAGAGTCACTGGGGTAGAAACCATCATTCAATACAAAGGGTATTCAATTCCCTAATTCAGTGAAAGAATTTCTGACCCCCAAAATGATGTAACTCTTAGGAGGAAATGTAGTTTCCCCATTGTTTCCAGTCTAGATCTAGTGTCCTTGTCTGACAAAACCTACTAGCTCTTCATTCCTGATTTTCTTCCAAAGATAATGAAACCCAAGAACTATTTACTGATTCATCTGTTTCTTTAGATGAAGTGGGGAAATTCGTTGCAACCAAATTATCTTTCTTCTGAAAGACACTTTTTTTTTCTATTAATTTAAGTTGCTTGTGAAATTTTTCAGATGTTCTGGAACATTTCTATGCTTCCAATGGCTCTATCATCACCTAATTTCTCAGTTTCAATACATGAAACTCAGTTTGAATAAACTTCCTTTTAATACTTCAAAGAAGCATATATGCTTGAAGTCTCCATTCCCCACCTCATATTTTTTTTCTCACATCAGCTTGAAAATCACTTATGAAGGCTGCCACAGACTTACATCTCATTACTCTGCATAGTTAATTACCTGTTTTTAATCTCATACGATTACAGACCATAATTTATCATAATTGGTCACTCTTACTTCATGGGAACTGTGGCAGCTTGAGAGATGTGCCACTCTGACACCCTTGCAAGAAAGGAATGGTTACCCAGCAATAAGGAGGGAAAGGGGCTGAATTTAGCTCCTTTAGTTCATGCTTTTCTTAAAGGACCCCTGGCCAATAACCGAGAAAGACAAAGGTACAGAGCTAAGCCATTTCTTCCCAAGACAAGACTCTATTAATAGGCCGTCTTTGCTCCAGAGCTCACCAATGAATGGGCTGGCTGTGACTGTGTCAGCACCATTTCACAGCCTGATAATTCTGTTTCCTCCACTTTTTCTTCCAATAAATATTACTACCCCCCCACTCCAAAGCCTCCTGTATTCCTGACTTTATCTCAATGTTTGTTTCCTAGAGAATTCAACCTGTCTCAGTTATTCATTTGCTTTCTGCCCACTAGTGTGCTAGTTGGCTTGAAATGGCTCATCAGAGCTGATTTTGAAATTTCCTTGTATTTTGTGAGCCTTACATCAAACACAGCCACTATAAAAACTAAATTATATAAACTCAGAATAAATATTAAAAATGGTAATGAAAAATATGAAAAGGAAAAGACATACATATATGGGTGACTGAAACATTATGCTGTATACCAGAAATTGACACATGTAAACTGACTATCCTTCAATAAAAAGATATTAAAAACTAAAGTAATGAATACTCAAAAATTATTAGTCCTAACTTCATTATTTTACGTCTTACTATTACTATGTTCCTGAGGTTATTTAGATCTATTGCAGACGCATGGTGGACATGCTTTGTATTATCGTACCGCACATCTCTTCCCAGCTCTGTTTTCAGCATCTGCACTTGGGTCGGTTGAAAGAAGAGATAACAGGAGTGTTGATACCACAGGAATTGACACATACTACAAAGCTGCTCCCCCTGCCCTTCTGCAAGTCACTGGAAAAACACTCATCAGCACATCACTGCTCCTGTCTCTCTAATTACTCCTCGTTTTTTTAAGCTTATCTCTTCTATCAGACTTCTTAACGTAGTCATAAAACTCTGGCTTCTGTCCTCCTCCCTATCTTTGCTACCTTGTGAGAGCTTTGATCTAGCTTTATGATTGATAAAGAGATATAGATACAGAGATATAATCGACTTTCTCAAGAAAATCTCTCAGCAATCCACAGCAGCTAGGGGAATGCTTTTGTCCTGGGAGGGGAGACCCTCAGAGACCCATCACAGCAACCACTTGAATGTTCCTTGAATGTGCCACGTGTCTTACCATATCATGGCCCTTACATTTACTTTTCTTTCTTTAGGAAAGCTTTTCTCTAGATGTTTATGTGGCTACTTCCTTCCCATATTTCATGTCCCATCTCAAATATCCCTCATAAAAGACGTCATACATCTATAGAACATCCTAGCTAAATTAGCACCAGCTGTTCTTATTTCATTCTCGTTTCATTTTACTTGTATACAGTGTCAAATCATAGAAATCAGTGGGGATGCTTATCTGCTGGTGCGTTTCTTCCTACAGAATACAAAAACTTTAATAGGACCCATAACTTGTTTACTATGTTTCCTGAGTGCTTCGGTGAATCCCTGGCAAAATGTTAAGAATGTCCAAACAATGTATTATATAACTAATATATCAGAATGTAATAGAAGTATCTGCCTAATAATTCTATTGATAGAATAGTATCAGCTTACAGTTTTTGGAAAAGAAAATTAAATACATTGCCACTATCCTAAGAACCAAGGTAGATGTTGTAACATTATCAAATTCTTAATATTTTTATAATAATAGTAGTATCACTGCTGTAGATTTTTTCAATACATATATGCAAACCCAACAATTATGCTTACACAAGATTATGCATTAGGATTTTACAGAAATGAAAAAAAGCTC